TGTACCATGGAGACAATGCACAATAGACCATTCCTTTCATGATTACACTAACAACATGGGTATTCATTCAAAGGTAATTGTTTGTGTTGCAACTCTATTTTCATGAATTGTGATTTTGATGATAGTAAACAATTCTGTTTCTCTACGACTGCTTTGGCTACTAATATTTCAGGACCACAAGATCGGACGGCAATCGGAACCAGCTCAAGATTGGATAGATTAGGGTTGAGTTAGTTTGTAATGTCTTTTTCCCTTTCTTGAGTCAATTGTCACCTTTGGAGTGTCTGATGCTAAGTAACCCTACACATACACTTGAGTGATTTTTTTGTCTGAATTAGAATTTTTGTTTTTACTCACATCGTCCCGGACGATATTTATATCGTCTTGGACGATAGGGTTCAAAACAGAAACCCTAATCAGGGCATCCTGGTTAACCAGTCGTCATTAAGCAAATCGGCCTGGACGATATACTCAAATTAGAAAAAATCAGCTGCCATGATTAATTTAGGTATTCTTTATTTTAAATTATCGGCCAGGACGATATAACACAATTATGCCTAAATTAATCTAGCAATTATGAAAAGCAATTAAGGCTGATTGATACGATCGTATCGGTTGGCCGATCGCAAAATCGGCTCTGTTCAGGGCGATGTTTAGGACGATTGTACTCGAATTTGAACTAATCGTCCGGGACGATATTGTATCGGCCTGGACGATGTAACCAATTTTCTTCCGATCGTCCCAAATCGTCCCGGCTGATTGAGCCTATTTTTTATACTGATCGGCCAGGACAATATTTCTATCGTCCTTGACGATAAAGTCGGTTCTTGAAATTCTATTTAAAGGACCCGAATTTTCTCATGCAAAGAAAATCGTTTGCTGCTATCTTGACCTGAGAAAGCCTAGAGGAGAGAGAGATTGAGGAAGAGAGAGAGGATCTTGTGAGGGGGAGCTTGTGAGGGGGATTCACAAGGGTTGCTCCAAGCATTGTTTCCACTTCTTCTTTCGCTAGAGTCTCTTGTCCTTGGAAGGGTTGGGAGAGGTGAGCTTCAGAATTCGATCAAGGTTCTCTGCCTGCTTCAGGAGGAAGCAAAAGGAGTTGGGTTCTTTGCCATGCCGGGGTTGGCGGAAAGGAGTTTTGTAAGGGCTTCTCCGCTTTGCTGTGGGAGCAAAAGGAGAGTCACGTTTGTAGTGCAATACTCGGAGGGCGCATCCGGGGAGTTGATGTAAGTCGAGTTGACCGAACCTCTATAAACTCTTGTGTTCTTTTTACTGCTTCCGCATTTAATTTTTCCGCACTTTAATTTCTGTGGTGATTTTGGTTTGAGTTTTGTTGTGCTTTGCTTAAAGATTTTTTAAAATACCAATTCACCCCCCTCTTGGTTAGCTTTGAGCTAGTTCATAAGGGCCTAACATCCCTAACGAACTTTCAGTTTGTGCATTCCTAATTCTTCTTGGAGGCTGCAGCTTATTGAGAAAATTCACTATGGAGGGCTAGCAGTACATGTGGGTCGAGACAAAACATTAGCTCAGTTACAGCAACTAGCCTTTTGGCCACATCTTTGTCGAGACATTTCACGCTTCATAGACTGTTGTTATGTTTGTCAAATATGTACATGACAGTGTCAAAATACAGGATTGCATTCATCACTTCCAGTTCTTGACTCTATATGGGAAGACTTATGTCTTGATTTTGTGTTGGAACTACCACAGACTAAACGTGGCTCTGACTCAATCATATGGTTGTTGTGGATAGATTTTCTAAAATAACATATTTTATTCCTTGTAAGAAAACATTTGATGCACTTAATGTGGCTCAACTTTTTTTCAAGGAAATAATCTGATTGCATGACCTCCATCGATGCCTTATATTTGATTGAGATATTCGATTTGTTAGCCATTTTTGGAGGGAGTTTTGGAAAAGATTACATACTGATATTAAAGTAAGCTCGACTTATCATCCTCAAATGGATGGGCAAATTGAAGTAGTGAATCGTACATTGGGTAGCATGTTATGTTGCTTTGTTGAACAGAAACCAAAACAGTGGGAAGAATTACTGAGCCAACTTGAATTTGCTTATAATGCTATGGCAAATCGTTTCACTAATCAGTTCCCCTTTATTATTGTATTCACCAAAGTACCAAACAATCTCATTAACTTGGCTATCCTTCCCAAATGCCACAGTCCGGCTGCTGCTAAAACTACAGAACACTTCGTGGATATGCTACAAGATATTAAGAACCACTTGGAGGCAACCAATGCTAATTATAAGAACTTAGCTGATAAGCATCGTCAGCACAAAATATTTCAACTAGGAGACCTTGTTATGCTGAGACTTCGAAAGAAACATTTTCCCTTAGGCACCTAAAAAAAACTAAGTCCACATAAAATAGGACCCTTCCCCATTGTGCGACACATTAATGATAATGAATACATTGTGGACCTTCCATCTGAATTTCATACTTCTTCCACCTTAAAAGTTTCTGACATTTACCCATACTTTTCACCTGATGGAGCTACTATAACAATTGCCTTGTAGGATGCGAGCTTCTCTGAAGCCGGCAAACCGGCAAACTCTGATGAGGACTATCCTGTGCTCAAGCTCATTTTACCCTCCTACACTTCCCACTATCTCCAATACTTGCTTTATTCTATTTTCCATTAAATAGCACATGATTTACTTTATTACCATTTTTGCCATTTCTGCTTATGTGGTAGAATACAAAAGATACAAAATGTTATTCTATGCTATTGTAAGAGTCAGTTTTTATCAATGCATACATAGAACACTCCTCTGTTTTGATTTTCTCTTCTTTGGTTGCGGTTTCTACATCAAGCACTCTACCTCATTCGATTCTTATTGGGAATCCTACTACTTGGACTCAATCTACTCATGCAATAGTTGGTTTGCACAATTACCTAAGTTGACTAATTCCTCAATAAGCTGTATAACATTGATGTTTCTAGGGATAACTAGATGGGTAGGTTCAGCTCACCAAAACCTACAATGCTTGGGTAGGAACACCTCATGCTGCTTTAGTGTGAATTGGCATTGCTATGAACTTAGATAGTGATCACTATTACTCATTTTATGTCCCCACGTCAATTGCTCGCTCCTCACTTTGTGTCTTGTTACATGCAACACACGTCCCTTCTCTCATATAATTGTTTACACTCAGATGGGTGAATTCGCTCACTACTATCTCTACCACTACCCCTACATTCATCTTTGTTTCCTCTTTTTCACTCTCTGTCACATTCCACAAATCCTATTGCAAACTTGTCTACACTTGTTTGCGTGTGATCTTTGTCATTAATCTAACATTGCATTTACTCATACCGCTAGTGCTCGCATGCCCTATTATGTTTTCCTTTAGTCATAAGGCTCGCTAGCCCTCTGTCACATTCATTTCTATCATGTGATGTCATTTGCATGAAATTTTGTACTTGCTACTACATGTGGATGTAATGTACATTTCATTTGTTCTCTAAGTGCATTTGTGGACCTTCACCATAGCTTTACTTTCTTTTCTTGCAACCCTAAAAATCATATCTTTCTAATTCCCCTTCTCTCGTGATGAAGTCTAGCCCACATTGCAGGTTGCTTGTAATTATCTTGTTTGATAATCCTTTCCCTTCCTAATTTTGTTATCATTTTTAAACTTATGTATGCTAGATGTGCATCATATACTTCCTATCATGATCCATCTACAAAAATATTATTATGATAAGAGGAATCACAAGTAGGGGTGTAACCGAGTCGAGTCGAGTCGAGTATTTGCCTTATCAAGCCTGGCTCGTTTAAGACTTAATGAGTTCGAGCTCGAGCTCGAGATCGAGCTCGAGATTGACTCGTTTGGAGTATACCAAGCTCGAGCTCGACTCGAAAGCTCGAGCTCGTTTGAAAAGCTCGAGCTCGAGCTCGAGCTCGGCTCGTTTAATTGGCTTGACTCTTTAAATGTAAATCAAAATTTTTTTCTTAAATTTAGTTCTTGAAGAAATCAATATATACTTATATAGTGTCATAGTGAGCAATCATCTTCCTTTTAAAAATTATATTTATAAATTTGATCAATATTAAGTACAACTTTAAGCAATTAAGCCAAATAAAACTTGATCAATATAAAAATAGAGCATTCATATCAATGTTAGACCAAATTGTATATCATCACATCATTACAAAAAGAAGTAATTGGAATTATACAATCCATTAAAAAGTTTCATAATAGTGCATAAGTAAAAAAGCACAACAAAAGATAGAACTATTTATTCCATGTCTATCTGATATTCCATATTCTTCAAACTCTTTCATCTCAACTCTCTATTACCAATTAATATGCTGCAAACCTGAGAAATTAAGAAAAAAGTTAAATAATAATTAATTATTTTAAAAAATAGCACTATAGCAATTAGCAACTGTCTAAATTTACATATTCTATAGATCTCAAAATTGACGCCTCATATTAAATATTAATATACCTTGACCCTGTCATTGAAACTGCTGCATTCTGGGATTCGGCACTTTTTTGAGATCTGAAAGAAAATATCATGTGCTGCATAAGTAAATGAATGAAACATGAAAACTGCACATTACACCTCTTCATTTTGTTATGGTTTGGATGAAAATCAGCACCTTGAAGTACTAAAAATTACTCTCAATTATTAGGCTTCACATTCCCACGATCATGCCAAGAATTACACGTACAAAATCTAAGAAGGAAAATCATGCTCAACAAAACTGAATAGAGGAAATAGATTATATGATACAAAGAGGAATTTAGTAAACATTAAAATCAACTTGGATTCCAGCTCTTGATTCGTGAACCAAAAAGGCAGAAACCCTTGGTAACCACCAAGGAAACAGGATTCAGCAAATCTGGTGAAGAAACAAAAGAGATGAAAAGAAATAGGCAGCAAGATTTGGCTGTTGGTTCACAAGAAAATCACCACCAATTTTTTCATGGTGGTGATAGTCAGCCTTAGTGGAATAAAAAGACACTTCACACTATATTTTTTACCTTCGATTTTTTCATATAATCGGTAAGACAATCTCCACCTCTTCATCTTCTTCTTCCTCCTACAAAAGCATAGATAATTTAATGTTCATATATAAGTATGTGGAATACTAAATAAATGTCAACAAAACTTGCATGTACAAATATTACCTTAACCCTTCCCTTCAAGCCATAGTGGCAGCGAACCCAGTTGGAACCACAAAGGAGAGCTTGCACAGTGTCAACCCCTAATTTTGATCGATATGTATCAACTACTCTTTCTCCAGCACTGAAAGTGGACTCTGAAGCAACTGTACTAACAGGGATGGATAAAATATCCACTGCCATTCTTGAAAGTATGCGGTATTTGGCTTGATTGTTTTTCCACCATGCTATCACATCAAACTTCTGCCCTTCACTACAAAGTTCTAAGCCATCTTCCAAGTAGTTGTCTAAATCTGATTTTATAGGCCTGGTGCTTGTTTTGGATGAGACAAATGAGGTGAAATCATGCCAACCACTATATTTTTTAGAAGTAGATTGATGGTCTACACTTTGCAATGAATTGGTTGTGCTCCTTGAACTCCCTCCTGCAATACCACCATCACCATCCAATTCGGCTTCAGAACTTCTAACATATTCCTCATACATTTCATAGAGAAGACATTTAACATGCTGCACATTCCTCATGCTTTCATCTCCATGATATATCTTAGGGTAGGCAAACTCGATTACAACAAACTTCATTCTTGGATCCATCACAGCACCAAAAGCCATGAGAAGATTACATTCACCCCAATATTTATCAAATTTAGCTTTCATCTTCTTAGTCATCTCCACAATGAAATTATCAGTTATAGTTGAATCCAAATTCTTCAACAATAGAAAATGGTTTCTCATTAACTAGAATGTAATGTGCTATCATCTCCCTAACTTTTTGATGATCATATTTAAATGTTGTCAACATTCCACCATCTTGACTGCTCTGAGAGAATGAGTTTTCTATATCTGATGGTTGGAAGTGTAAGATTTTTTGTTTTTTGAGAGCACGAATCCTAGCAGCACATCGGTCCAAATGTCTTTTGAATTGTGTAGTTGCACCAGTAACTCCAATAAGTAGTTGTTTTTTACAATGCACACATTTTCCTTTTTTTTGCCCAGTAGGAAGAATAACTTCTTTGAACTCATCCCAAACTTTAGATCTTTTATTTCTTTTATTTCTTCCTATAACATCATCAACTTCTTTAATATCATCAACTTGATTTTCATTAGTCCACTTTTCGACCTCTTCGTCAATCTCATTGTCATCATTATGTGTATTATTTTCATTCATAGGTTGACTACCAACATAAGAGTGAAAATGGTCATCATTTTGATTTTCAAGTCTTCCAGTCTCAATATTTGCATGCTCAATATTATCCCCTTCCATACTAACTGGTGTTGACATTCTAAAAAAATGATAATAACATGAGAATGGAAAATATAATTAAGAATGAGTTCAAGAAAATTTTATAAATACTATAACAGCACTATACACACTATAATTAATCATGAGTTCAATAAAATTTTATAAATATAACTCATAAATTCCATGTCTTTGAAAGATGTCATTAAAAAGTCCACTAACACAAGTATAGAATCATTTTCTTGAATATTATGGCAATCCGAACACAAACCATGCTGTAAACTTCCAAATGCTTATGAGAAATACGTAGGAAATTGCATAACCAGTTGTTCTTTTTTATACCTTTTAGGCACTAGCAAGTTTTGCATTTTGATACTAAGTGCAACATCTTGTAAACTTAGACAAATAAAATCTATCACTATAACAGCAAAACAAAACTTAAATGTTTATTTCAGTTCAATATCATTGATCTATCTGATAAATAGGACCAAAAATGACTATAGCATCAGGAGAAGAAAAAAAAATTATCTACAATAACAAGAAACCCCTAAATCAAATAATGAAGAAAAAAAACAAGAAACCCCCAAATTTGTGTTCAGTGAACAACGACGAGGGAACACTTACGCAGACGAGATGCCGAATGTCCGAGTCCGACGTCACAGTGAACGACGACGCTAGATGCCTAGATCCGTAAGCCGAGATGCCAATTGTTCGTGGAAGAAGAAGGCCCTAACTCCCGTCAACCGCCCGGAGCTGAAAACCCAAAGCTGCTCTCGAGTCTGGAGTAGGAACAAATTCGTTTGAAAGCTTGACAAAGGAAATACATAAGAAGAAAATAAAACTCAAACAGACAAAAAGAAGAAGAAAATAAAGGAATCTAGCGTCGTCGTTTACCAAAGAAGAAGAACAAAATTCGTTTGAAAGCTTAACAAAGGAAATACAAAAAATATAAAAGTAAAATTCCTAGATATTTTCCTCTCCTAACCTTTCTTCTTCACAACTACTTCATGCGACTTACCACCTCACTCACGCAGCGAACGGAACAATACCGAGTCCGAGTCTCTGGAGTTTGGAGGCGAAGTAGGGCGAGAAACGAAAACCGAATGCGAAATTGCGAAAAGTTTAGGGTTTAACATGCGGGATGCGGCGGCCGCGGCCCCGCGGGTCATCTACTCAAATTAAATAATAATACTATTATAAATTTATCGAGTAGCTTATCAAGCTTTCGAGTCGAGCCGGACTGAGCTCGAACTCGAGCTCGTTAATTAAACAAGCTCGATTGTAAGCTCGAGCTTGAGCTCGAAGCTCGATAAGCTCGGCTCGTGAGCTCGTTAACGAGTCGAGTTCAAGCCGGCTCACGAGTCGGCTCAGCTCACTTACACCCCTAATCACAAGTCATGTTCTTATTATAATACTTATTACGCTTATTCTTCAAAACATAAAGAGAACAAATTTTATACTTGCTACTACATGAGAATAATTTTTTTCATTCTTTTGATTATTTTATAATAATAGTTGCTTAAATTAGAACCATCTTTTATTTTTCATCATAAATGAGCTAGTTTGTAAGTGACTCAAACTCGATAAACTAGTCAAGATTAAGCTCAAGCTGAGGGTGAATTGAATACACCTCAATCTTGCTTTACTCTTTATCTTGTGAATTTGAGTACCTAGGAAATATTTTAGCATGTATTTATATAGTTAGATATAATAAATAAACTATTCCATCTTTACAGTGATTATTATATTTTATGCTTAGATTTTAGTTGATTATGAATGTTCAAGTGTCTGATATTTGTCCATCCTTATTCTTTTCCCCTTCAATCTCTATTCATGATTTACATTTTTTTGTCTTTTTTCCATTTGCCATTTAAGTTGAATTATTGATTGCCTGATCATGGGGTTGGATGAAGGATGGCTTATAAATATTTTGTTGTGGAATCATGTCCAACTCAAGCCGATTGAAATTATTTTTTGCTCTTTTTGCTCACTTCTATCTTGTATTGGTTGATGAATTTAATGAAAGATTAATTTGATGGCTTCTTTCTATTATGCCTCGCTTTCTTTCTCTTTATCTAGCAACCTAAACCCCTCGTCTTCTTCCTGTGCTTTTCTTCTATTATTTCTTAGGAAATGTGAACAGAATTTGATGTTTAACAGTCTTGCTTCTTCTGAGATTTGTTATTAATTTCTTTGAATTTTTATGTCTACTTGTTTGCTTGCTTAATTGAATGTGTTTATCCTTAATTTATTCTGTTTGTCCTTTTCTCCTTTCCCTTCTTTCTCCTTCATTTTGTTTCGGTTCCTTAGTAAAGTTTCTATTCCTGAGCCTGGAGAAAGTGATGTTGTTTATTTCAAATGAAGTGTAGACTGTAGAGTACCTAATCATTACTATGAGTAGTTAGTTGTCTTCCATGGTTCCAAACGTATATTATATGGCTTAAAGTTGTATCAAATAGCTTTAAGAGGCAAGCTTCCTAACGTGTTTTAACTTTATGAAAGGTCAATGTTTAAGCCTTGAAAAACATGTGATTTTATTGGGCCTTTCCTTCTGCTAGGCTCTTAGTTTTACTAGGAATCCAACTAGTTGAATTTCCAGTTATCTGGGTTGTTAACTGATATTTGTAGTTTAGTCTCAGCAAAATTTTTTTCCACTGCAAGGGATTATGATATTTTTCTATGTGCTTGCAAGATAATTAATAATGTGTTTAGGAACCTTACTGATTTGTATTTCTGATATTTTATTTATTTATTCGTATCGTATAGTATACGTCAAGTCCTGTTTCTCTAACTGCCTTGCTCGAGTTAAAGCATGTTATCCGTATTTAATTTGAAAATTCAGTCATTTTATTTTTGTAACTTTAATAATATTATCCATCAAATACCTTTTCCAGATTGCTATTGTAACGCTTAAGTAGTATGCTATACTAAAGCTAGATAGCTTGGCTATGACCGTTGCTACTATTGACGTTAATTGTAATGCAGGAAGCGCTTGTTTAGCATGATTAACGAACTGCCTACAGTTTATGAAGTTTTGAATGGCAAGAACAAAATCAGGACTGCAGTCAACAACAACAGCAACAATAAATCAAAGTCAAATTTAAAAGTGGTACACAACATATTTCTTCATAGATTTCTGTACTTTTTTTTCCCAACCGAAGTAAAATCTTTGCAAGCTTGTCCTTAGAAATTAACATGGTCATGTTGCATTGTTCATACATTTTCTAAAATATCCCATCATCTGATTCTCTATTTGGGACGGCTTTCTTGCTACTTCATAAAACAACAAGAAAGCCGTCCCAAACAAACCCTTAATCTTGAATCTGGGCCAATTGCTTTGATTTCAATTTACTCCTATCTTCGAAGTTTTTAGCTTGCAGTTTGGTTTTACGGTTCTATATCTATAGACAATTTATTAAAAAAGTGAACTTTTTGTCTGATAGATTAAAATAAAGATAGTTGGATTTATCATCTTTCAAAAGAAACTATTATGATCAAGGATAATGATGATAATGTTATCTCACCAAGCATTTTATGATTGTCATTCATCCAGTTGAAATAATTATATGAATTGCAAATTGCTAATCTTACATTTGTGCATTTGTTCTCTTGTTAGTTTGTTTGCTTGTTCTTAGGTGATCCTTCTTAGTGCAGCTTTTCTACTAAAATCTTATTTCTTCTCTTCAAACATTAAAGAGAGTCGCCTTAGATGGCTTGTTCACATAAAATGGTATTCTTCTGATGACCCGGTTAGGAAAGTAGAGGTATTAGATTTGACTTATATTAAGAAAGGTAGAGGCAGACCTAAAAAGGCTTGATTAGAAAATATTAGAAATGACCTTTCTCTATTAGATTTAAATGAGAATTTGACTATTAATAGGACACAATGGAGAAAAAAGATTCATTTAGCCCACCTCACGTAGTGGAATAAATGCTTGATATTGTTGTTGTTGTTGTAAACATTTAATTTAACTGGCAGAATAGGTGTTTAAGTGCATTATGCTACTTTTACTCGCACCCTTCATTGACTACACAAATAATTAAACGACATTTTGTGCAATTTGAGATATTTCTCCTTCTTTCATTATAAAAACAAGCAGAAGTCATCAGAGACTCTGCCCAAGAACCCGAAAGTGGGGCAACCTCAGGAAGAAGACGAAGGCTTAGATGAGGAGAATGAGCATGGCGAGACATTATGCGGTTCATGTGGAGAGAACTATGCAGCTGATGAATTTTGGATCTGCTGTGATATCTGTGAGAAGTGGTTTCATGGCAAGTGTGTCAAGATCACACCAGCAAGGGCTGAGCACATCAAACAGTACAAGTGCCCCACTTGCAGCAGCAACAAAAGAGTAAGGCCCTCATGAGTCCAGTTTGATCAATCAAAAACTTTTCTTTTTCTTGTACTGTGATAGCCTGTGGTTACCTTTGTTCAAAAACTTTAGGAAGATTTGGTGGTTTATTTAATCTGTATGGCCTCTTGCATACCTTGGAAGGCAGTGTTTGGGCTTTTTTTTTTAAAGATTGGTTCAGTTTGTTGGATTAGTTGTCTATAGTTTTATGATTAAATTTTCTTTCTCGAGTAACCTATCTTTTAATCTATCCTTTCAACTGATTTTGCTATTGTTAGTAGTCTTTGAATTGGAGGTGTCTGTTAGGTTTTGTTTGGGACGATTTTTTTACTATTTTATAAAGCAACTTTTAAGTAAAAAAAAATTAATTTTGGTAATAAAAACTTATTTTAAGAAGCGGTAAGAAAGCCATCTCAAATGAAGGCTTAGTTTAGTCAGAGAAGATTTTAAAAGTTGTCAAATTGTTTGGGTCAAATTGTTCTTTGGAGTTCTTGGAGGTCTAGGTGTGCTATTTATGCATCCTAATAAAAATGAAATGAAGAAAATAATCCAAGAATTAGGTATTTCCACAAGGAAATATGCTGCCCCATGAGATTTTGTATGACTAGCCAATGCATTAGCTTATCAAACAAGGTTGTGAAAATTATATTGAACATGGAATAGAAAGGAGAGATCAAGGTTTAAGTGTTTGATTAGGGTTTAATTGGATGATGTAATATTTATTTAATATGATTTAAATGATGTAATAATGTTTTAATATTGTAAATTTGTGTTTAGAATATGATTTGAATGATTTAATAATGATTTTTAACATTTTAAGAATAATAAGTTGTCATGCTTTCAAATGAAATGTTAGGGCTTTATAGTTTTCTTGTAAGAATCTCAACCTCAATTTAAATTTATTGGAGAAATCTCATATGAAAAGTTAGGATTTTTTTTTTTTTAATTTTCTCAAAAATACAACACTTAACAAAATGTGAAAATGCTGTATAAATAAAAATGTAAATTATAAGAAGTTTTGTAATTCCTCATGAAATTCAATACTGAGATGAATAATAGATAGGGAAGTAAGAAGAGAACTTAAGGGTATAGGATTGTAATAAAAATTTATGTATTTCTTTTACATAATGTTATAAAAATTAATAGAATTAAAAATAGAAAGTTTGATAGACTATTGTTGATGCAAAAATTGTTAATATTATAAGTGTTTATGCTTTACAAATAAGTTTAAATATGTTTTCGAAACTAAAATTTTAGAATGATTTAGAAAAATTAATATAAAAAATATCTCTTGAAGGAAGTTTTTATCGGAGATTTAAATAGATATATTGTTCTAGAGATAGATTATTTTAAAAACATTTATGCTGGCTATGAATTTAGAGCGACTAATGAAGGTTGTAAGATTATATTAGATTTTGTTATAGCTTATGCTTTTGTATTTGGTAATATTTTATATAATAAAAGAGATGAATATCTCACCACTAATAAGAATATATATAATAAAATTCAGATTTCTTATTTTATTGTAAGAAAAATAGATAGTTTAGATTGCAAATATGATAAAAATATTTCGAGCGAAAGTTTACATACCCAACATCACTTATTGATTTTGAATTTTAAGATGGAGTAGAATATAAAAAATAAAGTAAAATGTTGTTTTAGAATTAGATGGGGTATTTAAAGAATAATAATAAAATTATTTTTGAGATTATAATTCTAGATTTTAAGATTTTGTCTATACATGAGAAAATTATTATTATGTGAGAAAAAATAGTTAGTGATATTAAGAATGTTATAAATGATGTGCTTGGTGTATCAAAGAAAAAAGCTCCTTATAGTAAAATAGTTGATGGTGAAATCAAAATATTTAAGAAAAGGTAAAAACTAAGAAGGTTTGTTATAAAAATTAGTTTATATATAAAAACTCTAAAAAATGGAATGATATAAAGAAGCCCGTAAGGAGTCTAAGAAAGTAATATTTGATGTAAAGATTTTATCTTTTAATGATTTATATAATATATTAGATACTAAAAAGGGCGGAATATATATTTATAAATTAGTTGAACAAAGAGATATGAATAGTAAGGATTTAGTTCAAGTGAAGCGTATTAAGGATGAAGATTAAAAAGTGCTTATATTAGAAGAGAATATTCAACAAAGGAGGATGAGATGTTTTGCTAAGCTTCTCAATGAAGATTATGAAATATGATCAACTTTAGTGACCTTAGCACCATAAATAAAAATAGAAATTTTTATTTTATTAGTATATCAGTAAAACCAAAGTTAGAGATGCTTTACAGAAAATGAAGTATGAAAAAGATGTTGGAACTGCTAATATTTTAATAGAGATGCAAGAATGTTTAGGAGATGAACGAATTTTTTTGCCTCACTAATCTTTTAATATATATTTGAAGACAAAAGATGCCAGATGAGTGAAAAACAAGTGTGATGATTTATATTTTTAAGAATAAATGTGATGCACAAGATTGTGTCAATTTTAGAGGAATTAAGTTAATATGTCATACTTTAAAATTATAGGAGAGAGTTATGGAGCATAAGTTATGACACAATACTAATGTTTCTCAAAATCAATTTGGATTCATGCCAGATAGGTCTACTATGGATGCTATACATTTATTAATAGGTTTGAAGGAGAAGTATAGATAGAATAATGACAATATCTACATATGATATTTATTGATTTAGAGAAAACATATGATAACGTTTCAAAGAAGTGTTATGGAGAGTTCTACAAAAGAAAGGGGTTAATAATGCTTATATTCAAATCATTAAGGACATGTATGTGGGAGCTGTTACTTGTGTTCAAACACAAGATGGTTTGACCAAATATTTTCTTATTTCAATTGGATTATATCAAGGAATAGCCTTATGCCCATATATTTTTTGCTTTAGTCGTGGATGTTCTTACTCGACATTTGAAAAAGATTGTACCATGGTGTATGCTTTTTTACTAATGATATTCTTCTTGGTTATAAACTAGAGAGGGAGTTGAAGGTAAACTTGAATTATGGAGGTCAACCTTAGAGTCTAAAGGTTTTCATCTGGGAAGATCTAAAACCAAATATATGAAGTGTAATTTTAGTAGTCATAGATCCAGTGGAGGGATTGTGACTTTGAGCAATTAAGTTAATTAATAAGTTTATATGTTTTAGATGAGGGATGCTCAAGTGGATGAGTGGCTTTACTCTTAGATATAGGATGCAAAACGAGCATATACATGAAAAGGTTGGAGTAGCTCCAGTGGAAAATATGATTAGAGAGATTCACCTTAGATGGTTTGGTCATATAAAACGGTGACTTTCCAATAACCTGATCAGGAGAGTAGATGTATTATATTTTGATTATGTTGAGAAAGACAGAGATAGACCTAAAAATATTTGATTAGAAAATATTACAAATGATTATTCTTTATTAGATTTAAATGAGAAGTTCCCTCCTAGTTGGACACAACGGAGAAAAATGATTAATGTAGCCGATCATATATAATGGGATAAATGATTTATGTTATTGTTGTTTTACATATTAATTATTATAGAGTTAAATTTTATGGTTAAATTTTTAGCCCTATGACCAATGTTCAACATTGCTTATCATGTATCATATGAATCAAACAATTTTATATAGTCAAGAATAGGTCACCAGTTTCTTACTTGAACCAATATCTCAAGCCAGTCTTGACTTGTTTAATACAAAATTGATTTTTAAGATAACTCGGACCAACCAAATTATTGGTTCAAGTCTTTAAGATCTAACCGATTGAACTGGCCGGACCAGGTGATTTTTTAAAATAAAAATTTGTATCATTTAGCATTTTATAATATGATAAAATTATGATAAAAAATGAATTTATGGTTCAGAATAGGAATGCATAGGAAGGCCTATTATATCATATTATTTTAAGCATAAAGTTGAAAGTACATATATTTATATGACATGTGTTGACTTTATGACTTTAATAATCTGTATAAATTTTATTTATGATATAGTAATTGATATGTCTCCAAAAATTACTTTGATCGGGCACGAATCTTGAGGCATAATCAAGTTGGAAACTTCAAAAATTAAATCTGAGACCATCCAAACTCTAAGTTAAACAAAATTATAATCAAACTGAATGTCTCGAGAAGACGAGCCCAACGACACCAAATTCGACTCAATCCGAGCCTGAATGAGTCCAAATCAAGGGTCTGAAGCATCGTTGAAGGGTTCAAATCACAATTTGGATTACCAAACGGTTTCCAAACATAACAAGCTTATAGTCGAATCGAGCGGCTCGATGAGACGAATCCAACGAGCCCAAGATCATTGAATTCCGACATCACTAAGACATCAAATTGCCCAATAAACAATCCATGATCAAGGGGATCAATATCAGCCGTCCATTTAAACACTCCCATTTTGCCCTTGATCCTCCACATGTTTACAAGCCATGTCACTCTCAAAAAACTATAAATAGGTCCTCATTCTTCACATGAAGGGGAGGAAGAAGAGGGAGAAGAAGAGAAGAAAGGGAGGAATTTGGGAGCTCTGCGCG